AGTACACCCGTTCAAGAACATGGCTTGGGTCTGTTGGTTTGATGCTTCTTGGTGCTCAAGGGCTGACGGCAGTAGTCAAGGAGGCTACGTGATTTGTACGACCGAGAAGGAGGCGCTCAGCGGCAAGAAGGAGAAGTTCACGGTGTTCACTGGAGCTTCCAAGAAGCTGACAAGGAAGTGCAGATCGTCTCTCGGTGCAGAAATCCAGGCGGCCAGTGAGGCTGCAGAGGAGCTGGAATACACACAGCTTGCCTGGATGGAGATGCTGAATGCGAAGGTCTACCTCAAGGGCGATGAGCGCTACCGATTCATACGCGACGGTCCTGACAGTGTCCTCTCGCAACAGACTGCAAGAGTCTCTACGATGCGGTAACAGGTTCGGAGAGCTCGGCACTAGGACTCAGTGATAAGCGCTCGGCCATTGAGTGCATGGCGTTCAAGCAGGGTATCTACGAGTGCGGCGCAGGACTTCGATGGGTTCATTCTCATGCTCAGGTCGCAGATGGATGCACCAAGATCAAGTACGAAGCTCAGAAGTTGCTTGATGTTTTCTTGTGCAGAGGGTTCTGGACCTTGGTTCACGACCCGGAGGTCGAGTCGGCTCGGAAGCGAGGCTTGCGTGGTTTAGACATTCTGGATAAAAAGGTGAACCAGAAAGATGAGATCATACCAAGTGATTGAGGCCAGCTTGCTCGTTTCATTATCCATATCGCTCGCTATCGCGAGATCTGTTTCAGCACGTGTGCGTTCTGTCGAATGTAGTTCCATATCTCAGTCGCTACGCGACAGTTTCACATTATGAAGTGTTCTCTCGGTCGAGGCCAAAAGCTTTTTCCCCCTGTGTAAAGATGTGTGAGTCTTGGCCGACCGATCGAGGCCTGGGAGCCCGAACGAGCGAACGAACCGATTCCATCGCTGTTTGGTTCAGGGCGCCCTTGGGCCGGTGCATAGCTGCCGGCGAGTACGTTTGTACAACAGTGCTTCCAGAGCACTACGTTTATAGACGCCCACCAGGGGCTCACACACGAGAGATATAGTTTCGTGGGTGTTGGCGCTGCGCTGAACATAAAGTGGATCATCACGATAATCACCAGGGTTCATTGTGATTGACGACATCTATCTGAAGTCCATCGATGAGGCTAACGCCAACGCCGACAATTTAGGGAGGGAGGGGGGATTTGCCGTTCGGATTTGCACTGGAGACTCGGAGATTCGGGCCGTTTTGACACCCGGGCGTGGAGGAAGGAAGGCGGGAGGGAGGGAGGATGGGAGGGAGGAAACGATAGGGAGCGAACGGGAGGGAGGGATGCAGGGAGGAGGGGAGGGGAAGTGAGGTGGGAGCGAGGGAAGGGCGGGAGGAGGAGCCGAGAGGGTGGGGAGGCACAATTTTAAGGTGTTCGGGGAGCGACCCCATTAGCAAGCAGAGGGAGGAGGGGCCGCTCAGAACTCCACCTTCACGGCAGAGATCACCAGCGAGACGAATGCACATGTTTCCCGCAGGCCCGTCCACGAGCACGATACCATGATACCATAAAATATCTCTGCGGGATCCCAATGCACCTCTACTTGGCACGTGGAGGACGTTCACGACGACACTTGGTGCTGCCATACATCACCGAGAGACTGGGGAACACCACCAACTGACGTAAAGAGTGGGAGGCTCACCCAAGAAAGGGCTCTCTGACATCTGACATTCTTCATAAGACTGCGGGCTCAAAGCAGACATCTCATCCAGCGCAAACTGAAACAGTGATACCAAAGTCAGATTGCAGAAGAACCAATACATCGCCAGGCCGACAGGGAAACGTACCTTGTGGCAACATGTAAAGTACTGTTTTGCATGCCATGAGTTGACAAAGAGACACAAGCAGCCTCCAACCACGTCAACGCGAAGGTAAAGGCAACGATGACAACTGATGCATGCCACTTCGTAAGACTGCATGAATCAGTTACACCCACCAAGCAGGCGAGAACATCTGCTGAGCATTTTGATTCCGCTGCGCCCAGAATCCATTGCAAAAAGCCACGTCGCCGCCGCTTTGATGCTGATGTGAGGCATCAGGTACCCGTGCGTGAGGCAGTGCGGCAGCCGCCGACGAAGCATTAGGGAGGCACTCTTCGAGAAGTTGCATCTCCTGAACCTCCACCGCATACTCTAAGACATCTCCGTTCGAACCGACATACCCGTTGGGCATCCTCTCAGTCGGCTGTCCGCTGGTGGATGTGAGCGAAGTTTGTTGCCCAAGCTTGGCCATCGCAATCATGCCGACCGCGCATCCCGTAGCTAGACTGCCGCCCCACTCCGCCAGGCAGATAATCTTCAGCCATAGCATGTGGGCCGCTTTCACTAGGGCAATCAGATCCAGCACGCTGGGGAGGGGAGGAAAAGGGAGGGGAGGGAAGGGGAGGGGAAGGGAGGGGAGGGAAGGGGAGGGGAGGGGACGGGAGGGGGGGGAAGGGGAGGAGGAGAAAGAGCAGAGGAGGA